AACACATTATGTTTGGACAGGGAAGGATGTCTTCTTTTCCAAAACTTCCTGAGTTAATCATATAATGTAATTATATAACTGAATACAAAACATTTTCCCAAATTACAGGCTACAATGGTTCCTCATCATAAAATAACAGAAAAACCTTTTTAAAAAATACCTACATATTTAGCAATACAATGAAATCATTTCTGGAGAAAACTAAATTCAAAATCATACTTACCCAATTAGTGCACCATTATGACTTCTGGGATAAAGCCTGGCCTACATTTAGAAAACTTTATCCTCCCTAATGAGCAAATTAAAAATCAATATAAGAAGAAAGAAAAATAAGATAATGAACATTAAATGAATAAAGGGAAAATAGAACAGTCATAAAATCAAGAAAAATTAATTATAAAGCTACCTTTTAAATTTTAATCTAACACAACATTGGTATCAAAATCACTAATAGTATTTGTCTGGTTTATTGTACAGCCAAACCATCTAAATATCTTGCTGTTAGTTCTGTTTAACTAATAGTCACTGCTATAACATACGCCAATGTTCTGACTGCCAACATCCCTCAGCATTCATGAGAGATTGGTTTCAAGTCTTCCCATAAACAGTTGCTCATGTTCCTTATACAAAATGCCAAAATATTTGCACATAACTACACACATTCTCCCCAGACCTAAATTACCTCTTAATTGCCTATAATAGCTGATAAAAGATAAATGCTGTGCAAATAGTTACACTGTATTATTTAGATTATGACAAGAGACATTACACATTCAGTACAATATTTTCTAATATTTTTCTGTATTTTTTACAATTATTTCTTTGGAAGGCAGGTCAAGAGAGAAAGAGAAGCAGGCACAGCGTGATGGACCAATGGCTAAATCCTCACCTTGTACACCCAGGATACCATATGGATGCTGGTTCATGTACTGGCTGCTCCACTTCCCATCCAGCTCCCTGCTTGTGGCCTGGGAAAGCAGCGGAGGACGGCCCAAAGGCTTGGGATCTTGCACCCATGTGGGAGACCTGGCAGAAGCTCCTGGCTCCTGACTTCAGATTGGCTCAGCACCTACTGTTGCAGCCACTTGGGGGATTGAACCAATGCATGGAAAAAATCTCAGTATCTCTTTCTCTCTCTGCAAATCTCTTTTTCCAATAAAAATAAATAAATCTAAGAAAGAAAGCAAGAGATGGGGGGAGGGAGGATGGAGAAAGAGACCAATCTTCTATTCACTACTCCGCAAAAGTCTACAACAACAGCTAGAGCTGGGCAGGCCCAAAGTCAGGTGTCCAAAGACTCTATCTGGGTTTCCTATGAGAGTGGCAGGCACCCAAGTACTTGAGCCACTCTCAGCTGCCTCCTAGCCTGCACACTACCAGGAGGCTAGATTGGAAACTGAGGCAGGACTCAATCCCAGGCACCTCGGGATTGCAAAAAGCAGTTTAACCCACTGCTCCATAACACCCTGTCCTCAGGTACTTTCAAATCCACACTTGTGATACCCCCAGACTTTACTATCAGTCTACATGTATACATGCTGCTATATTCTCATCCACATCATCTCATACTAAAACCACCCCCCGCACACATTCTCACAAGGTCTTCTGCCCCTTTCTAGTCCTTCTGCCTCTGAAGTCGCTCCCTCTTTTTCACTCGCCAACTCCCCATCTCCTGAGGTTTGGTCACCCCAACCTACAGGCATTCCAGTCCCTATGACAGCACGTTCAGAAAGGCGTCCCACCTGCTCCACACACAATTCTCGGCACTTACATCTGAACTCGCTGCCCCGTCCGTCCTTGTACCTTCACAGAGAGTGCTGAAAAGGCCTGCAGCTTTGCTGCTTTCAGCCCAGAATAGATAGAGGAGAGGGATCTAAACTTCCCCTACCCAGCCACCTGTGAGGTGCCAGCCTTAACTTCTAGAAACCGAAGACACTAACAAACAAATAAACATGCATGCATGCATACATACATACATGGCAAATACAAGAACAACGATGAGCATCAACTCATTCTGAAGGGATCCAAAAGGAGACCATCAGGGTAGAATGGGGTCTCTGCCCTGAGCAGGTTCCCCTGCTGACGGCTACCCTACTCACACAGACAGCAATCTCCTCCTCTCTAAGGCTTAACTTTGATACGGCTATGTCCATTCCTTCTCAGAACTGGGACAGAGGAAAATCATCCAGGGGCCTCCCATTATGTCAGGTTGCACAGCAAAGTACAGGCAGTCTCTCATCTTCCAGAAAGGCAGGCCCCAAAGGTCTACTCCAGCTCCCACCTGAGCTTAGTTCTACTAAGCCAACGCACGTACCTCTTTCCCTGCCTCTCACCCAGTTCTCTGTCACTGCTTCTCCTTTGGTGCCACAGCTCTGCTAGCATGTAGCTGCACACCATCCCACATCTAGCCACTTGCCCATTGTCCTGGTCTGTCTTGGATTCAGGGCAGAAGGTTGGATTTTGTGACAACAGTGGCAGACTGTGTCCTAGGCAGAGTCTCTTCTACACGCACACCCATCTGCCACTCATGGCCAAAGCAGGCACCCTGAAGGCAGCATAGAGAGTGCCCGTGCTTCCAAATCCCCCTGCCTGGCCTCTCCTGGTACGTAACAACCCTCCCTCACCCCTGCAAGCCAAGGTGCCTGTTACCAGCATCCTTAAGAAGCAGTCACAGTTAGAGGCAACATCTCACATGAAAAGGAACACAACCACAACAATTGTAGCTTCACAGAAATGCTAGAGAAACATAGCCAATTTGATCCTCTTCTCCTTGAGGGTCTCAAGCCTCAAGCCTCACTCATTGCTGCCAATACTAGTGTTCAATCCATCTTTAACAAATAGTACCTGGTTAGAATCCTGCTCACCCTGCTTCCAATTCAACTTCTTATTAACATGCATTCTGGCAGGGGGGCAGCATATGATGGCTTAATTAATTGAGTTTTCCACCTCCCACATGGATGACTTGGATGGAATTCCAGACCCCTGGCTTTGGCCAGGCCCAGCCCTAGCCATGCAGGCATTTAGAGACTGAATCAACAGACAGAAAACATCACCCTGTCTCTCTCTTTCTCTATCAATCTATCTATGTCCTGCTCTCTCAACCTTTTAAATTAATGAAATTTCAAAATAGGGGAGGCCTGGTGTAATGGCTCAATGTGCTAATCCTCCACCTGCAAGGACCAGTATCCCACATGAGCACCAGTTCATGTTCTGGTGCTCCACTTCCCATCTAGCTCTCTGTTCACAGTCTTGGAAAGCAGCAGAGGATGGCCCAATGTCTTGGGACCTGAAACCTACATGGGAAAGCCAGAAGAAGTTCCTGGCTCCTGGCTTTGGATCAGCTCAGCTCCAGCCATCTCAGCCATTTAGGGAATGAACCAATGGATGGAAGATCTTTCTCTCTGTCTCTCTTCCTCTCTGTATATCTGCCTTTCCAATAAAAATAATAATAAAGAGTGGAAAATCCTTACAAATAATAAATTCTTCAAGTGGTGTGTTTCAATTAACCCATGTAATACAGACAATCTCCAAAACTAGCTCTGCTCACCTAATGCACAGGGCAATCACTGATATGGGGGGGGGGGTCAGATAAAGGTGGAACAGCAGGAAATCCGGTGGCTGTAATGAGTTTCTGGGGCTCCCTGAGGGGTAGGGGTAAAGGTTGCTATCAGCTGAAGTTGGGATAAGAGGTACTTTGTCAGCACATGTCCACCTTACTTGTGGCCTCACAGCCTTCCTTTGATTGGTCAGGATAACGTGTTCTTTTTAGAAAGACAACATTTATTTCTTTATTTGAAATAGCTAAAGAAGAAAGACACATGGGGGCAGGGAAGACGTCCTTCCATCGGTTCACTCTCTAGATGACAGGGTTGGGCCAGACCAACGGCAGGAGACAGGAGGTTTCTGCTGGCCTCCCATATGGGTGGCAGGGGCCCAAGCACTTGGCCCTCCTGCACTGCTTTCCCTAGGCCATTGTCATGCAGCTGGTTCAGAAATGGAGCAAGCAGGACACAAACTGATACGCATATGGCATGCTGGCGTCACAGGCAGCAGCTTTACCCACTCCACCACATGCCAATCCCAGGATACAGTATTTGGGGGGAATTTTTTTTTTCTTGATTGCCAAGTGTGCCCTGGTCCATCTAGGGGCTTCATGCAGGTGGGGAGGGGGTTACTTTCTGCTTTGTTTCTGTAAAGAAACCCCTTAGGCAATCTTGAGCATCAAGAGGTTACCTATTGCAGGAGCAAATGACCTCGCAGCACTGGTGTTTACAACCTTGGAGGATCAACTACACCACTTCCTCAATTCAGTGAGTAAATTTTAGTTAGTGGTTGGTTAGTATCTCTCAGCTATTGTTGCTGTTTTAATTTTTTTGAACGACGGTTTGTGACCAAGGATCCAGATTCTGCAGCCTCTGCTTCTAATTCCGAAAGGCAGGCTGGGGCTGTCGTGACGAGACAATACCTGCGGAAGAATTACCGGGAGAGTACACCGGGCCAACAGGAAGGATCTTTGTTTTGTTCAGTCGTTCCAACGAGTAGGCAGTACAGGCAGCCTAGCGCCAGGAGAGGGCGCACTCGTTGCACACGCAAGCAGAAGCCACAGCACCTGTGTGCCCAGTCCTGGGCTAAATGGGGTCACCGAACCAGACCTGGTCTCATAAACTGCCGCGTGCAACACGACAACCGACAAACAGCAACCGACCACGGCTCCTGAGCACGGCCTGAGCAACCTCCTGCGGGAGTTCCGGGAGCCCTGACCCATCCTGGAACCTCTCAGGGACGCTCAGTCCTGGCAAACGCCAGGAAGCCCTGGGACGCGCAGGAAATATGCGGAGACTCCAGGAGGCATTCCGAGCCCCCGCCCCGTCTCTGATTGGCTGGAGTTGTCCCGGTCCCGGTCTGTGATTGGCTGCTGCCACCAAGACTCCGCCAGCGGGGCGGCCCCTGGGCCCCGCCAGCCGCTGATTGGTTGTGGTCCCGTGAGCTGGGCCTGGGATCCGGGCGCGGACGCCGAGGAGCGTTGGGGCGCCCGTCTGCCCTGTCCTTGAGCTCTGCGTTTGGGGCAGCCGGTAAGTTCTGCACTAGTGCCGAGCCAGTGAACTGCGGACCGAAAGGCCCGGGAGGGAAGTGTGTGGACAGTTAGCAGCTGTGCCTCTTGTGAAGTCGGGGGTCCTGCGAGCTCCCCGTGGCCGGCGCCGCCTCGCCGCTGCCCGCAGGACCTGGCCTGCGCCCGGCCCCTTTGCAGGTGACTGTCCCTTTCCTCCCTGTCTGGTCTTTCCTGGGGAATTTTTTCAGGCCTCGCCCTTTCTCTATTCCAAAAGGTACCACGAAACAAGTTAAGCATTTCATTTATTTAGGTTTTGTCCTAGAAATTTACATATGGTTTTAAAAATAAAGCATGTGAGCGCTGCTCACCCCCAAATCCTCTTTGCAGATGACACCACTTGTAACTTGCCCGGGTTTAATACCCTTCCAATTCCAACTTACTGTCTCCTGGATCGCACGACTTACATTTGGTTCTTAGGAAAACGAGAAACTCTTGTGAGAAATAAGGCGGTCGGTGTGTGGCAAGTGATGCCAAAGTTACTGTGGAGGAGCAGGGGGCGTGGAGCTTAACCCTGACGTGCCCACTTCCTGCTTCAGGGTGAGTGGTGTGAGCCCAGACCTTTCCCCTACCCCCAGCTCCCTGCCGCTCTGCCCATCCCTGTGAGGGGCAGTGGTGATTGCACCCACCCACCCTGGAGAGCAGGCCTGAGCTTCCAGCTCCTGGAATGAACGGATTGGGATGATGTAGAATCTGCAGGACAGTGGTGAAGTTTATTTTGCTGTCTGGCCACATGCAGTTGTAAGATTGGGGAAGATTTATGTAGGATGCCTGGGCTACAGTTTGTGTGGAGCTTGCGCTGAGGGCTGGGAAGCCAGAAGGGGCTGTGCAGTTAGTGGGTTGTGGGATGTGTGGGATCCTGGATCCCACAGTTTGGCATCGATAACAGGAAGAGGAAAAGCAGGAGGCAAGGGGAGGCCAGTGAGAGGGCATGGCCTGTTGGCACCCTGGCACAGAGCTCTGTGAGGCTAACTGTCCTGCTTCCTGCAGCACTGCCTGGAACCACAGTGGTTTCTCTCTGTACGTCTCTGGAATTTGTATGATACCTTGCAGCTATGAATGTGAAGTGATTTTCCAAAGATAGAATGGTGTATCCCCAAACCAAGTCTATAAAATGAAAATCATGATTTCTACCCAGGTTTGTGAAATACACTAAAAAATGTGAAATGCTCAGAACATGACTGGCTTGTAGCATAAGTGTCATTAATGTTTGCTATTAATGTTTGTTATCAGTTATTTAAATTATAATGGCCTCTGCAGTTTAGGTACTGTGTCCTACATCTAGCTGGCAAATGTCCTACGTTCAGAAGCAGCTAAGGATATAGCAGTGACCAATAAGGTTCTTTCTTCTATAGGTAATGCAGACTTGTAATGTGAGTGAAAAAAATGTTGCAAATCAGGCCAAGAATGTGCCCTTTGCAATTCAACTTCCCTGGGCATATGTGGCCTAGGAGCAAGCTCAGACACCTTGCTGGAGGACTGGCATCATCTTGGGTTTGATTGTCATCAGATGAGCTTTGCTTTTATCTTCCCCAGGATGGTGTTCCATCTCTGCTTCTGACACACCACTAAAGGCTGAGGAATGTGACTAGGTTAGTGCTGCCGATGTGGGCAGGATACAAAAAACATTATTTTCCTTATATTTTTTCTTGTAGTTGACAGCGTAAAGAAACAAATTGATGGGCCCAGCACAATTGCCTAGTGGCTGAATCCTTGGCCTTGCATGTACCAGGATCCCACATGGGCACTGGTTCATGTACTGGCTGCTCCACTTCCCATCCAGCTCCCTGCTTGTGCCCTGGGAAAGCAGCTGAGGATGGCCCAAAGCTTTGGGACCCAGCACTCATATGGGAAACCAGAAGATGCTTCTGACTTTGGATGGGCTCAGCTCTGGCCATTGCAGCTTTGGACAATTGATGGGATCTATAGGCCTAGTTCACAAACAAGGAGAGGTTCTTCCAGACAGGGCTGTGGGAGCAATTGATGGGATTTGCAGAGGGGCGGTTGATTGATCCATAGATCTAGTTTGTGAAACAAAGAGATATCCCACACAGGGGTGTGGGAACAACTCATGGGGGTCTGTGGGCAGACGTATGGAAGCTCCCATAATCTCAAGTCAATTCCCTCTTGTTGCTGATATGTAAATTCCTCAAACCCCTCTCCCTTATCCTATGTGACCCTCGGTCTATAAAAGCCGATGCTGCTAATCAACTTTGGGTATTGACCAGTGGTCAGTAGTTTTGTGTATGATTATCAGCTCTGTGTACCAAGTTCATCACTGACGGACAGCGAACAATGGCCACTTGGAGAATGACCAGTGTGTTTCTCCTCTCTGTAAAAAGAAGATAGAAAAGAAGATAGAAAACAAATTGAGCGTATGGACCATGAGCTTCAGACATCTTCAAGTATGCAAATGTACAGCTGCCTCTCAGTATCCAAAAAAGATGCTTGGGGTGTGGGGCGGGCAGCACTTGCAGACACCAACATTCATGAATATTCAAGTCCTTCATATAAAAGCAGGTGTGCATCCTCATGTCTCAGTTCTTTTAATGCTTACTACAATGTAAGCACCATGTAAATAGCTGTTAGGCTGTTTTATTTATGAAGTAACAAGAAAAATGTGATTAGGACAGACATAATTCTGTTTCAGTTATTTTGATTCAGGTACAGAATTCAGGGATACAAGGCCTGACTATAACTGTAACCATGTCAGAGAGCTGGAGGTCTCGTGACCATACTTTACATACTAAGATACCACATTTTATGTGAACTTCCCCAAGTTCAACAGTAACACTGAGTTCATGGAGTGTGATTGGAGTGAGAATGATCTGGTGGTAAACTCAGAAATTGTTGACCAAATGAGTGAAAACAGAACTGTATGTCCCTTCTATGGTTTGAGTTATATGGCCCCATTGGGACATCAGCCAGGAAAGCTTATACTTAGGACAAAATCAATAAGGGATCCAAAGGAAGGAATGTGGGTAAGTCATTAATTGTACTTTCGCATGATGTCTCTGTTGGATTTTTCCTCCTGATTTATTGTTTTCTTTTCCTCAGGCATCACACTTCTCACTGGCCTCCTACTCTCTGAGCAGAGCATCGGAAGGAGCTATGGATCCTGCAGCACTGGTGGAAGCGATGGTGGAAGAAGTGGCCTGTCCCATCTGCATGGCCTTCCTGAGGGAGCCCGTGAGCATCGACTGTGGCCACACCTTCTGCCACAGCTGTCTATCCAGACTCTGGGAGGTCCCAGCAGAATCCCAAGAAGCGGACTGCACCTGTCCTGTCTGCCGAGCTCCTGTCCAGTCAAGGAGCCTACGACCCAACTGGCAGTTGGCCAGTGTTGTAGACAAAGTCCGCCTGCTGGGGCTACATCCAGGATTGGGGCTCAAGGGTGACACGTGTGAGCCTCACGGGGAGCAGCTAAAGATGTTCTGCAAAGAGGATGGCCTGATGATGTGTGAGATCTGCAGCCAGGCCTCAGAACATGAAGCCCACTGTGTCGTGCCCATAGAGGATGTCGCTTGGGAATATAAGGTAGGAGAAGCAGCCTGTCTAAGGAGGGGTCATATGACCTTATATCAGATGACCACTCTCAGTCATGGTCCCCTGCAACTGAAAAATCGATTCTGATTTCAGATTTCTAAGGCTCAGATTTGTCTATTAAAGGGAGGAGTTATAGTGACTCACCCAGTGTCAAGTGGCATTGCTAGAAGTTTGCAGGTTTGGGTAGGAGCCACCTTGATAGATAACAACCTCGGTCGCAGATTCATCTAGGCCTCCCAGAACTCCAGATACACTCAGTTAATCTCCCTCGATTTCTGAGAATCAGAATCATCTTGGACTCAGCCATAAGCCAGGTTTGGATGGAGGAATTGGTGGGGGACAGGGGAGGGCAGAGGAAGTTGGAGGGAAGAAAATCAAAGAAGGTCATGAATGCTAGCAAAGGTATATCTGTGTCAGATGCCACAAACCTACAGGTATTGGGGTTCACAGAAATTCACTCTCAATCTCTAGGGCTGATGAACAAGCTCTTGACAAGAGATAGCTAGGTGAGGACTGGGAAAAAGGCCCCGTGTGCGTAATCTGAGAGTTAAGGGCTGAGTTAATTCCCAGCTGAATGACTTTGGGTGGGGCATTAGTAAGCCTCATTTTACTTAGCTGCAAAATAAGGATAGCACCAGTCTCAAGGAATGAGATTGAATGGGTGTGAATGTACATGTTGTGCTTAAGCAGCATCTGGGTCTGAGTAAAATGGTTACTTTCATCAAAATTAAAAGTATTATCAAGATACACTTTCAAATAGAAAAACTGCATTCCTATTCTAGAAAGGAATATGTGTTTGATGCCCCCCGGGTCTTGCTGAAACAGAAATTCTCATTCAGTTGGGTAGGGGAAGGTCTAGGATGTCCTCTCTTTCTTTCATTCTGGCATGCCATTCTTTAGTAAGGAAATCCTGGTAACCGTAGTATTACAAATGTAAGTTAAGGCAACATCCCCTATAAGAGTTACTCTCCCAAGATGGCCCATTTCTTACCTGCTCCTTAGTAATACTTATGCTGCGGGTTGTCCGTGACGCATACTTTGAATGGCAGGATCTAGGGAAACCTTTTCCCAGCACCTCTTCCCGCCAGCTCCCTGAGGGGCACACCTTCTCCCATTAGTCCAACACTAGGAAACTTCCGTCAGTGTGCACAGCCTGAGCTGGCCCCATCAGGTTGTATTTGTGTCTTGCAGTGGAAACTCCACGAGGCTCTGGAACATCTGAGGAAGGAACAGGAGGAAGCCTGGAAGTTGGAAGTCAGTGAGCGGAAGCAGGCTGCCGACTGGAAGGCAGGTTCTCCCCGGAGGAGCTTGTGTTGTCCCTGTGTTGTCCTGGAGCTGTGCCGGGGAGCGTCCTTCCAGAAGCGGGGGTTCTTACCTTTGGAGAGGCCGAGTTCTCGTGCTGGGTTTGCTGTTCTAGGCGTGTGGCCTTACATGACCACATGACCTCTCAGTTCCAAGTGAGGTCTACTGCGGTGAGAAAGGAAAAGCACAGGCCTCGCCATTCACTCTCGGGGCCATGGCCTGCTCCGTGCTGGCAAAGAGGCGGCCCTGCTGCACTTTCCCCACCTGGTTCACAGCTGCCAGAAGTTCAGTTACTAAATTGTTGGAAAATCACCTCTGAAACAAATTTGAGGCCAGGGACTACCAAACTCAGATGAATGGATCATCAGATCTAAGACAGGTTGAACAGATACGCAACCAGCAAGAAGGAAAGCCATCTACGCATGTTAAGTCACACCGCTTCCGAGACTGGTGTGATCCATTGGGCCATTAGTCTGAAAATGGTTCAGAGCAGGTAGTGCCAAAGTAACATCGTAGCCCCTACCAGAGTCACCAAGAGTGCAAATAGGGGCCTGAAAGCATACGCTGGACTGGAGCAGAGGGAGGAAAAACCATACTCTGTACCTTTGCCTCAACAGTACTTGGCACAGAATCATTCATGTGTGTGTTTTCTTACATCCTCAATCCTGGGCAACACTTGGCCCTCAAGATAGTAGTGCTGATTCCAATCTTAACTTTGCAGATACAGGTGAAAACCCAAAAGCAGAATATCATGTGGGAATTTGAGAAATATCAGCGGTTACTACAGGAAAGACAGCCACCAGGTCCCAGACTGGAAGAAGAGTTAGCTGCAGCTCTGGCCAGCCTAGAGCAGGAGAAGGGGGAGACCATGGAGAAACTGGAGCGGAATTATGAAAAGCTCACCCAGCAGAGCCGAGTCCTGGGGAGGATGATTGCGGAGCTGGAGGAGAGGGCTCAGAGGCCCGTCCGCTGGATGCTGCCGGTAAGTAGCAGGTGTCTGGGAAAGCCGGCATGAGAACCCCCAGAGACCTCCAGGATAGAGGGCTGGCTGTTCACGGGCCTTTCAGCACTCTGTCCAGTACATGTGTGAGGGAGCAGCACCTCCTCTCCTGCCCTGGCTGGGTAGATGACCTGGTCTGTGGCAGCCTTATAGGTCAGGCAGCAAGTGGGCAGTTTGGCTTCAGTCTAGTCCCTCTGCATCTGCCTAGATGCCCTTCTGCATGGCTTCTCTCCAGTCTTTGGATCTGACCCCCTCCACCTGTGAGAAGCCAGAGTTCAGGGTCCACCGGGACCTGTGAGAAATAGCACATCTCATGCGTTGCTATTTTTCTCCTTGCAGGGTATTCAGGAAGTCTTAAACAGGTAGGTGCCAATCCTTGGAGCCTCCATCTGTACGAGGGGGAGTGGGGCCTTCTGGCCAGAGCCAGAAGCAAGAAGAGCATGGAGCCAGTAACTACAGAAAAACAGCTACAAGTGCCCAGATTCCCCCTTCCCCCCTACCTCCATTATTTTGGCAAAAGAAACTATGTTGACTTTTCCATTGACTTCATGGAACATGATCAGATTCCTTTGGGGGATGGCCAATAAAGATGGCAGGGAAAGTGACCACGTAAGCAGTTTCCAGTAGCTCAGCCAAGGAGGGGAAAGACTGCCTTAAGGCCTGCAGCTCAGAGTGGCAGCCCTTTGCCCTCTGTGGCATGCCCCTTGCTTTCCCCATGTCAGACACATGCCTCCCCTCCCCACAGCACCCGGCTGTGAATGTTCTCACCTCTCGGTCACAATTTGAGGCTCCACCACATAATCACCCACAGCTCTACTTGGGTGAGGAGGGATACCCCACTACATCCCCAACCAAGCCCCTCTTCCCTGTACTAAGAGCAAACCTGTGTGGCCAGACTTTTGACCTCAAGGCCCACCCTCCTCTGCCAGGAGCAAGTCTTGGATCCTTCAGAAGCCAGAAGTGGTCTCCTTGGAGCTACAGACGGGTCGCTGTGTGCCAGGGCTTAGGGAGATCCTCAAGACATATGCAGGTAGTGGGTGCTGGGGGTGGCTGTGATCAGCAGTGGGAGGGACCCCGTCAATGAAATAAAATGATTCAGTGCCCTCTGCATGCTCTAGTGTCCCCAACACCCACCGTCGTAAAAATTCTGTGCTTGTTTGCCAGCCAGACCTCACCTGGTCCCTGGCTCTCTATGTGGCCAATCATGGCTTTCTTTCCTCAGCTGACGTGCGCTTGGATCCAAATACTGCTTATTCCTACCTCGTTGTGTCTGAGGATAGGAAGCGCGTGCACTATGGAGACACCAAACAGAATGTACCTGACAATCCGGAGCGATTTTACCGCTACAATGTTGTCCTGGGCAGCCAGTGCCTCTCTTCTGGCCGGCACTACTGGGAGGTGGAGGTGGGAGACCGTTCTGAATGGGGTCTGGGAGTGTGTAAGGAGAATGTAGACCGGAAGGAGGAGGTCTACTTGTCCCCTGACTATGGATTCTGGGTGATAAGGCTTAGGAATGGAAATGAGTACCGGGCAGGCACCAATGAATACCCTCTCCTCTCCTTGCCAGTCCCTCCACGCCGGGTGGGAGTCTTTCTGGATTATGAGGCTCATGATGTCTCCTTCTACAATGTGACTGATGGTGGCGCCCACATTTTCACTTTCCCCCATGCTTCCTTCCCTGGGCGCCTCTTGCCCTTTTTTAGTCCTTGCTATAGCATTGGAGCCAATAACACTGCTCCCTTGGTGATCTGCTCCCTGGAGAAAGAAGACTAAGGAAGCCACCATCTTCATCACGGCCTGCAGAGGTCCCAGAGAAGCCTGCCACTGGAACCACACTGAGCTGAGAACCCAGGGATGCCTCTGCCTGGACCAGTACTCTCTTGTCCCAGGACCGAGTGTAGCACTAAATCACACACATATGGAATCTAAATGAGCATGGCATTCCCATCAGGAGGATGTGACAGGGCTGGTGCCAAGGAGCAGAGTGCTCCTTCAATAATGTGTTGATATGAGAATCGCGGCTCTGTCCCTTCTGTAGCTCATGTCCCTCAGGTTCCTCACAATTAAATCAGAAAGGCTGGAGCAATCACTATAATCTTCAGAAAACCTGGATAAAGTTTACAACCAGCTGGAGGATTGTCATCCCTGCACCTGCTGAGGCCAGTAAAAGACTGCTGGTTGCTGGGCAACCTGCAATGGAGTCCACTCAGCTCTCTATGCTCCTGGCTGGAGAATTGCGGTGCAGCCCAGGCCACTGGCTATCATCAGGATAAGGCTACGTGTCAGGGGCAAACAACTTGTGGGCCTTAGATATTATTTTCATTTTGTAGAAGATACCGAACTGACTGATGAAGCAAGTAACTTCTTACAAAGCCTTTGAAGATAAGTTTATAAAGACTACAAGGCACTTTCCACATTGAAATGAACAAAATGAACAGATTCACTTCCTAGGTTATATATCTGCATATCACTGATGCCATTGGGGTCTGAAATATCTCACATATCTGGCCATATTGAATTATCTTCACTAGAAAATAGATGTAACAATTCAGCATAAAATGGCATAGTTGCCTACCTCGCCATTGTGAAGATCCCAGTTCCATCCCACACTTTGATCCTCTCTCAGGGATACAAGAAGGCAAACCATGGATTCTCCCTGTGGTTAATTCCCCAGCAGCCTGGACACAGCCAGCATCCTCAGTGGTACCAATTCCTTAGGGCCTCTGATCCTGAGCCCTTAGACAGGTGCCCACCAGCGGCAAACTGCACAACAGTAGTGAAGTGTGCATGTGATTCTATATGTCTTTGGTTTGAAATAGGAACTGTGATTTCAGGGTAGAAAACATCATGAAAAGGGGAAAAAATGTAAAACATTGAGTAGTAGAAAGGATGGCTCTTTTAGCAGTTAACTGGGCTAAAATTTGAATATTTTGATGTTACCAAAGGAATCCTCATGGTACTTGGAGCTCCCTAATATTCATCCTGCCTTCCCTTCTCTGAATCTATGGTAGAAGGAAGTGGGCGGGCAAGTCCAGGGAGAAATAAAAAAGCCAATTTGGGAGTCATATACTGGAACAAAAGGGAGTTAGCCAGAGCTGGCTGTGGGTCACAAATATATCACACTAATGATGTTAATAATAGGGTATGCTAGGTTAGGGTCTATGAGACTTCATCACAAGTTTTGTCTGATAAATTTGAGGTTATTCTGAAATGAAAGTTGAAAAAGTGAAATACATAGTTAGATTTACTGGCCTTGAAGTGATTGCCATATAGGGTAGGGAAGGTATAGCAAAAATAATTTACTACAAATCTGAAGATAATGACAGGGGATTGATTGTGACTAGAACAAACTGCAAGACAAACATGGAAGAATTACTTGCTCAGTCTTTTGCCAGGGTCTGCAGTCTACGAATTCCATGTTACAATAATGCTGTATGATACAACTTCAAGCACTTCTTGTTTAAAGACAGCAAGTTGTTGTCAAGTTTGCAATAAGAAACACAGTAGGTGTTAGCTAAGAGCATATGTAAACCAGCATCCAATCAAGTAAGGAATACTTAAATATGCTGATTCATAAATAGATGACAAAATAGGAGCAATAAGCTCATGCTTCCCACCCTGCTTCTAAGCTGGTCCTTGAGAATTGGTGGCAAAAGGACAGAAGTCCCAGGTGAAGGGCAGCCAGCTGGTCAGAGATGTGCAAAGGGTTGGGTTAATCTACCTTAGAGGGACTGTGCGTCTTCATGTGTGGGGACTCCCTGGAGAGGAAGGTGGAAAACAGGTCCTTATGAAGTGCTGCCAGTCATAGCCCTGGACACGTGGCAGAAGAGAGTAAAGGCAGAGCATTGATGCTCTTCACTATGGTGTTACTGGGGCAAATCATGAATGCGTCGCAGAAAAATTATTAGTTTATGAATTCATTCAAACCTAGCTTTAAAGAATAAAAAAGCCTTGTTTGTAATTTAATTTATTGGTTTGTTTTCTTAAAATTACAAGTTTATCAGGATACTATAAATTCACTATAGTTACAAAGATAAATGATATCACATTGTTTATTTCACATGCTATGACATTTTTAAGCCTTATGCACAAAGACTAGAGATGTTAAGCGCATGAAAGCACCATTCAGTATGTTAGCTTCCCTTCCCATGTGTTTCCCTTGAAGTCAAATGCCTGATTTGTTTAGTTCACCATTATAACCCAGTCTAGTGCTCACCCTTTCTGTCCTTCCAGTCTCCTTTACTCCTGCTGATTAGTTCTCTTGATAGCTCCAGATTTTTCTAACATCATTGAGCCCAGGTCTACATCTCATCAACTGGAATCCATTTCGCATTCACCAAGACCCTGGCCCAAGTATGAGCACATGACCCAAGTAACATGGGTTCATCCGCAGACTAAAGGGCAAGATTTTATACCAGCAGCTTCTTCCATTAAAATCACGTAAAGGGAGAAATCATTTTGATGAGACAGGATAGAGGAAAGTATGCACAACATTCAACTTCAGTACTAGAGGGACTGGGAGAATATCAGGTAGGAAATATGGGTCAGATGCTAAGAAAAATTCTTAATCTATATAATACATTTATCTCTGAACATATAAAAGTGGATTGAAACCAATAAAATACTATCAAGACATAGCACACTTTCAATTCCGATTTTAACTAAAAAGTGAAAACTTACGAATATACCAATTACACAAACATTAAACAAGTGATCCAGTCCAACTCAATAGATCCCCAAGGCATTTTTTATTTAATGATAAACTCATAATCTAAACAGATTTTGTGTTCAATAGTAGTTGTTTTAGTGGTCCAAGAGACAGCATATCAGCAAACTCCATATTCTCTCCCGGATTTGCTTGGTTCTCATGCCATAGATGATAGGATTTAAAGTGGGTGGAATCACCAGGTACAGGTCAGCTAACAACACTTGAGTGTGCAAGGGTACTGTGTCTTGTCCTAGCCAGGCTACATAGATAGATGCTATTCCAGGTAAATAAAACAAAACCATAACTCCCACATGAGAACCACATGTGCTCAATGCTTTCAACTGAGCTTTCTTGGAAGAAAGACCAAATACTGCCCTGAGAATCAACACATACGAGGCAGCAATGAAAGCCACATCACACCCCACAATAATGGAGGAAACAATGAGGCTGTAGAGACTGCTGGGCATCGGGTCAGCACACGCTAACTTGACCACAGCCATGTGCTCACAGTAGGAATGCAGAATCACATTGGAGCCACAGAAAGGCAAATGACTCACCATCCAACTCAGTGGAGACATGGATATTACAGCTCGAAGAATGATGGCCACAGTCATGCCCAGGATCACTTGAGGGGTGAGAACTGTCTTGTAGTGCAGAGGCCTGCAGATGGCTACATAGCGGTCAAAAGCCATGGCCAGCAGCAGCCCTGTCTCCACAGCCGTGGCCGCATGCACAAAGTACATCTGAGTGAGACAAGCATGAAAGCTGATGGAGCCGTCTCCCGAGCAGAAGATGCTCACCATCTTGGGCACCACGGAGGAAGCCATGACAATGTCCACAGCAGCCAGACAGCACAGCAAGTGATACATGGGCTCTTGCAGAGTGGAATCCATCCAGACTGCAGTCACAATGAGGGTGTTTCCCACCAGGGCTGTGGTGTACATGGGACTCAGTGAGATAGCCAGCCAAAGATGTGAGGATGGCAAGCCCGGAATCCCCACCAGGAAGAAGGTGGCAGGGGTGTCCACTGTGTGATTGTAGGGTGTTCCCAGCATTTCAGGTGAGAATGATTTCCTGTTAATGCATAAATTAATTTCAGGAGAGAATGCAATTTTGTAACTTTTTTTCCATCTGTGGTTTTGAAAGAGTGTGGAATTATAACTTTGGTGGCTTTTTTCAGAGTCAAAGAACTGACGTATCATGAAACTTTTCTGCTTTAGCTGCTGTTCTTCACAACTCTCAATAATTTCTTTTTATCTTTCAAATATCATTCATTTCTGACCTCTTTGGGGAACTCTATTCTCTGCTACCCCATGTCATGTCTAATGTTGGCAGGTATCTTTGGTTTAAGGTTTCATAGATTCTCCCATTCTAACTTCTCAGGCACCTAAAAACTCCCCCATTCCAATATGCTGCATATTTCATGTGACTCTTCTTCATCCTCTTGTCCCATGCAATTTGTTAATAGCTCTCATGCACAATTCTTATAAAAGCAAATATGCATCCTCAATTTAATAAATAGTTCCCACATAATGAATGAGTAGTTACCTATAATATTTAGTAGTTGTTGAATGAGATAGTTAAACTCGTAACATCAAATATGTCACATTGTGTATCCTCAATAGAATACCCAGAAGAAATATGAATAAAACATCCTTGTGATTGAAGAAATACAGCAATGAATCAGGCAAATAAGCTTTAAGAGAAGAGCTTCACTTTCCACAGAAGATAACATCACCAGCAAATATTTACACTCTATACTCTCAACTTTGGTCTGGGTTTCCTATCAAACTGGGTTCAATTAACAACTAAATAACCATAGTTCTTTGATCTCATATTATAGATGAGTGCCTCCAAATATGTTTTTATAGTTCCTAAACATAAAATTCTCCTTCTACATGATAAATTACAAAAATAAGTAGATAAGAAAGAAGTCTATCCCTCAGAAGGGAAAGCATTTATAATGAACCTAATATTTCTGAGGATTATGTTAAAAAGCAGGAAATATTCTGAGCATATTTATCCATTTTGAAAATAGGACAAGGGCCAGATGGTTCAAAATCAC